CTCTTAACCAACGAGCCACTCAGCCGGCCCCAGTTCTACATTTTTGATGGCACTGAATGTTCCACTCAAAATTTAACACAACCCAAAGTGAATCTTTTTTCCCCTGCTCCCAAGTCAGTAACTTCTGACTTCCCTCTTCCTGTCAATGGAGCTCCCATTCTCTTGGCTGCCAGGCTCCACTCAACTTCCTCTTTCCCCTATAGTTTATCATCAGATACTATTTCTTCCTTCAACACAACAATATCATGTCCTAGAGACGTGACTAGGAGTTTGAGGTCAAAAGACTTGGGAATGTTAGCTAACTGAGATCTCTATGCCTCACTTTCCTCATCCCTAATATAAGGTTAAAGTTCATCAATTGTTTTGAAGATTATATGGTGCAATGCATACAAGAACCTAACAGTACATAAGGTCTCACCATATGTTGTTCTCTTCCCTGCCTTCCATTTCTATGGCCAAAATTATAGTGGTGTCCCTCACAGTATCTCATCTAAATGACTGTACTCATTTCTAAATTTTGCTTTTAATTGCTCTCCCCAAACACTTCCTAAAACATTGTTTCACAATGTAATCTTAACCAAAAGTCTTTAATGATTGTCTAATTTTTAAAGCAAAAGTGTCTAAAGTTGGGTGGATACTTCTTACTAAACCATAAACTCTTTCAGGAAGGGCAAGGATTTTGTGTATTCATATTAGTTTTCTAAAAGAACATTGCCATGTACCAGGGACTCAGTGAGCATTTCCTCCAAAAACTGATTAAAATGACCTTATCTGGAAGTTTGTTGCAGAATATGAGAATTTATTTTCAGTATGCTAAATTCGTCAAGGACACATTTAATTTCAGTTCTGACTTTTATATGGTCTTTCTGAAATCACTTCAAATACTTGGTAGCAATTTGTTGGACTGTTTTAGGTATGGAAACAATGACTGATGGCTTTATCCCTCAGTATGTTTTTCTGTTCCTTAAAGGGATAAATATCTTGAATGAGTTGTGTACTGGCTTCACAGTCAGCATCCATGTTCACTAAAGGGTAGTGTTGTCAATAACCAGGCTCCGGATTAATTTCATTTTGCACTGCAATTGTTAGAGTTATTAGTTTGTGAGTTAAAAGTAATATGGAGCTTTTTTAGAAAAGACTAAAATATGTGTCAGTTGTGTGCAGTACTGCACTTACCCTAACACAGTGGTTCTCAAACTTCTGTATGTATGTGATGTGAATCACCCTGAACCTGTGCTTTCCAATACAGTAGCCACTAGACCTGCAATGGAGCACTTGAAAATGAACAGTCAAACTGAAAAGTGCTGTGAGTGAGTGTAAAATACACACCAAACTTTGAGAATTGAGTACAAAAAAGCAATATAAAATATCTTAATAACATTGACCATGTGTTGAAATGAAAATATTTTGGTTATATTGGGTTAAACAAAACGTATTAAAATTAATTTTATATCATTTTTAAACTTTTTTAAAAATGTGACTACCAGCATATTTAAAATTACATAAGCAACACGTATTTATGATTCATGTTACTTACATATGTTCCTATTGGACAGCATTGCCCTAGATGCTTGTTTAAAATGTTTCCTGGGTCCTACTTTTGGAGATTTTGCTTTAGTAGTTCCAGGTTAGGGCCCAGGAATCGATACTTTTTAGCTGTCCAAGTAATTCAATTGCTAAGTCACAATAGGGAGTCATTGTTTTATACTGACTTTACCAGGTGATTTTGATGGTCTTCAGCAAAGCAAACAGTGATTCAAACATAACAAAGACTGTAATCGTTTTCAATTTCAATTATGCAATAATTATCATCCCATAATAATCATGCATGTTTAGTAAAACACATTTCAAAATATAATCATAACACAACCATTTTTGAGGAAGGTGAGAGCAATTAAGCAATACCTATCACAAATTTAAGTACATTGACTCACTTCTAGAAATTGATCTTGCAGATCTTCTCATGAGCTCACTATGACATATCTGTAATTCACTTTGGCACTTCTTGAAATAGTGAAAAATTGGAAAATGAAATAAATTATGATACGTCCAGTTGAATGCTATGCAGTCTATAAACAAGAATAAGGTCATATATATATGCACTGATATAGAAAGATGTCTATGACATATAAAACAAGTTGCACAAAAGTATATAGATCCTATTCATATGTCAAAAAATATGAACATATATTTGTACAAAGAGTTCCTAACTTACAATGGTTTGACTTACAATGTTTTAACTTTACGATGGTGTAAAAGTCATACGCATTCAGTAGAAACTGTACTTTATTTTTTTAAAAGATTTTATTGGGGAATTGGGAGAGGAAACAGCTTTGGGGAATTGGGGAAGGGCAACAGACAAGTTGTTGTCCTTTTGTTCTTCAGTCTAGTTGTGGAGGACGTCTCTTCACTGGCCCATGTTGGTATTGTGATCATTGCGCTCTTCCCAGCTGAGGCATATTGGTTGCTGGCCACTGGATGGCCACTCACAGCGGCTCACAGCAGCTGTTCACGCTGGCTGCCGGCCACTCATGGTAGCTTACGCCAGCCCACTGCAGTCTCATTGCAGCCTCTACCGTGGCTGGCAACTCACAGCAGCCCAGCTCCAGGTCACCATTTTACGTAGAGGGTGCAGTGTCACTGGCCCATGTGGGATCAGAACCAGGGGCCCTGCTGCTCAGAGCTCATGCTCCCAAGCCAACTCTTAACCAATGAGCCATTCGGCCGGCCCTTGAAACTGTACTTTAAATTTTGAATTTTGATCTTTTCCCTGGCTAGCAATATGTGGTATGATAGTCTCTCCTGATGGTAGCCAGCAGCAGCAAGCCACAGGTCCCAGTCAGGCCTGTGATCAGGAAGGTAAACAACCATTACTCTGCACTGTATTCATTGTGCTGGATGATTTTGCCCAACTCGGGCAATGTAAGTGTTCTGAGCATGTTTAACGTAGGTTAGGCTAACCTATGATGTTCGGTAGGTTAGGTGTATTAAATGCATTTTCTATTTAAGGTATTTTCAACTTACAATGGGTTTATTGGGGCATAACCCCACAATCATAAGCCAAGGAGCATCTGTATATGCATAGAAAGTTTCAAAACTGTTAATAGTGATTACTGTTAATATGGAGAAAAGATTCCCAGTGATACAGAAAGGAACTTTTACTTTTCTTTATATCCTTTATATTTTCTTTATATCTTTATATTTGTATTTTTTTTTAAGATTTTTATTGGGGAATTGGGGGATGGGAACAGCACTGGGGAATTGGGGGAAGGGGAACAGACAAGTTGCTGTCCTTTTGCTCTTCAGTCTAGTTGTGGAGGACGTTGCTTCACTGGCCCAAGTTGGCACCATCATTGCGCTCTTCCCAGGCGAGGCAGATCAGTCGCCGGATTCTGGACGGCAGCTCCCGCTGGCTGCTGGCTACACACGTAGCCCATGGCAACCCACTGCAGCAGGGGCTGCAGCCTACGCTGTGGCCGGTGACTCACAGCAGCCCAGCTCCAGGTTGAGCTGTTGTTCAGCATCTTAGCTGTAGAGGGCAGTGTCACTGGCCCTCATATGTGGGATCCGAAACGGGGCCCTCTGGCATCCCAAGCCAGCTCTTAACCAACATGCCACTTGGCCGGCCCTCCATTTGTATTTTTTATTTTACTTTTTTGTATTGTTTTATTTATTTTATATCCATTTGTATTGTTTGCTTTATATCCATTTGCAAATGAGCAATATGCAAATTTACATTACGTACATTATGAAACAATATCTAAAACCATACATAATGCCTAGCCAAGTAAATTCCTCATAACTTTGGTTCCCGTTACAGAAATTTGCTTTTCACTATTATCTTTTACTCTGGAATTTGGTTCTCATTTGAATTTTCTAAAAAGCCACTACAGTCTTCATTCATTCAACCTATTTTTGGCCTTGGCACTGTTCTAAGTAGAAAAATAGATGTGCACAAAACCATGTGCTCCTTACACAAGGGCAATAAACAAACAAGTAAATAATGATTAGTAATAAGGGCTATAAAGACTTGCATTTTCAAGTGCTGAAAAGTTCAAATGTCATGTATGCTTGTGTGCGCATATACATATATTTACTCACACATATTAATACACCAGTTGCTACTGAATTTTGTGTGTCGTTTGGATAAAGTATTTTGCAATAGTTCTCAAGTGAATCTTTCTCCTGCATTAATGATAACAAACTTAGTACAAGGGAATTAAAAATAGCTTTTCAGTTCTGTGAATTTAGGCAAATTACGTAACTGCTTTAGGCCTGTTTTCTCCTCTGCCAAATGGAGTATTTACCTATCAGGTTTGCTGTCTCAGGGAGAATTCTATGTGCTGAACACAGAATGTAACAGCAGCGCCTGGCACAAGGAAGTGTAGGGGTCGGGTGGGCCCCGTGCCGCGTGGAGAGCTTGCTCTCCGGAGGCGCGGTATTCTGCTGTGTGTGGGAGGAGAAACGCGGCATTTTCACATACTTTTTTCACCCGAGCATTTCTGCCTGCCCATTTCTCTTTCCGCGTGTGCGGCGGCCGCTGGGCGTCAACTCCCACCAGACGCCAGCCAACCAGCCAGCCGGACTTTTCCAGTGGGCCATAAGCTCAGGCAGCCCTGCGCTGCAAAACTCAAGTCCACTCTCGGTGCGGGGCCGCCCAATCCCTCCAGGGCGGACTTGGCTCGCGGCAGGCAGTAGCCTTGCCTCCAACTGCTCCTGTTCGTTTGAATTCTGGCGCCATTCCCGCGCCACGTAGAGCCAGAATCGCAAGGGACAGAAAACAGCGCGCTAGTGGACGCGCGCTGGGGACGAGGCGGGAGCGCGGCAGGGGCGGCGCGCGCACCACGCCCCGGAACGAGCCCCCGAAAGAAAAGAGCCGCCGCGCGCGCTCTCGCCCACTTCCCTCTGGAAACGGCCACGCCCCGTCTTCTCTCACGTCCAATAAATGTGAGAGGGAGGGGCGGTCCGGGTCTGACTCAGGAGAGGCTACATAAGGAACTGCGGGGCGCTGGGCGCGTTCTTTTACGTCGGGACTCGGTAGTCGTTTCTTGGTGGTCGGTAAGTAGGCGTCGCGGGCGAGAATGCGAGTGAACACGGGTGGCGATGGCTTAGAATGGGGCTGCAGTACTGTGGAGAGGTGGGGAGGTTTTTAGCTTAGCGTGTTGTGTATTGAGAACTCACATATGGGAAACATTCAGCCGGACCGCCACGTGTCCTGGGTGTTGGTGGCGGCAGGCTTCGAGCTTAGGCGTGAGGGGGCTGCTGCTGATGGCCACCGACGCTGCGCGCGGCCTTGTTATTGAATCCGGGCAACCGGCTGGCTGAACCTGAGTGGTGGCAGGAAAACCACATTCCTAAGACTTGGGAGGAAGAGTTTCATTTTCAGAGCAAGAGGCCATTATTAAGGCGAGTGCCTTTCTCCTGTCGCCAGATTAAAAAGGTTATTTCGAAATGGGCCGCCTCTGATTTTGTCGGAGATTGAATTGTATTGTGCCCAGGTGGCGCTGTGTAAAATCGAATTAATGAAGGAGAGGGTTTTTTAGTACCGAAAACCTTGAACTATGACATTCTCTGTGAGAATGCTCAGTTTTAAATATATTGATTTCCCCCAGGAACAATGGCTCTCGGTGTAACGGAATTGTTACGTGAAGATGCAAAGGTAAGTGTTGAGCTTAGTTTTTAAACTGAAGAAATAAACCTGTTGATTTACAGGAATAAAAGATGGTGGTGCATCATTTGAAATTTGCTCTCTTTTATTAGATGCAAAGGAAAATTCCAAAACGTGGGAAGATATTTGCTGGAAACTATTTGGTTAAAACCTGACGAACTTACCAGGTGTGTGTTGACCGAGTATTTGTTTCAGCGAGCGGATGTTTTAGTCCATATGTAGATTAAATGAAAATTTTTTTTGTCCTTGAACAGCATCCTGGGGGTTGATGAATACAAACGAAGCTATGGATGTCACTGATTAGCAGCTTCATTTTGAAGTAAGTTGTGTCTTACAAGATCTGTTGTATTTCTAATACAGGACTTGTCTTTTAATGTTGCTTTGGTTTATGGTCTGATCAATGATGAAACCTATCCCGAAGCTGATTTCCTGAAGAAAAGCATATACGGATTCGGCTTCTGAGATAAGACCAATATTCAAAAATGTTTGTTGCCTGGATTTTATAACAAATCTTGTAGGGGAAACATTGCTACCACACAATAGTGTTTTTGGTTGTTTTTTTTTTAATCTGCCAACAGTGAGGGGTCGCTGTCTGCCCATTGAAAGAGGCCAGTCTTCTGTGGCGTACCCAAGCTGAAACCATTTCTGTAAGTGAAGATATTTTGCTTAATAGTCAATATTGTGTCCTTGGTCTTATCTATGATGATCCTATCCCGAACCTGAATTTCTGTTGAAACAACTTAATACGGATCTGGCTTCTGAGATAGACAATTATAAGGACAATAGTATTTTTGAAAATAAATTTTAAATAAGTTCTGATGTTGGTAGTTTGTAAATCAAATGTTTTTCCTTTTCTAGGGCTAGTGCTACAAGATTTACTTATCTGTTGTGTGGAAAACTGGTGGACAGGAAAAGCTCTTCAATTTATGGACATGGAAAGAAAACATACAGATCAAGATGGATTGTATTTATTTTTATTTTGCAAATAGATTCTGAACCAACATCAAATCTAAATTAATGTATCCATAGGATTCAAGCCTATGGTTTCTACTTTATCATGTCACATTGCACTAGAGTCACAACTTATTAACCAGTAGATTACTTCCTAGATCTATTTCTAGGAATGCATAGCAAACTAAGTATTTTCAGTTAACTAGCCTTGTGATTAAATTACTCTGAATGAGTGTCTTACCTTTAGTCACCTGTTTTGAATTTAAAACGCATAATTATAAAGCTGAGTGAAAGTTTATGCCCACCATTTAATGGTGACAGCAAAGTGGAAAAACAGGTCCTATTACTTGGGGAGGGGGAAGGATACCAGGCATCAAAAGTATTGCTCTGATTATTAACTAAATCATAGAATATTTAGTCCTAATGTAATTGTGATTTGAAAGTGCATGTTTAAGATAAAATGGAGAGTAATAATACTGAAATGAATGGAGTGTAGCATGGCATTAAGAGTCACAAGGAAGGTCACTGAAAATCTGAGTTAGAACTAGTCAAACACTGCCCAGAATGGATTTAGTATAAACAGTAATAGCATCTGATATAACCAAGATGATTAGTTCCCATTGATGATCATTTTCCCTAAATAGCTGCATGAATAAGTTGTTCCCAGGCCTGTATTTAGATGTCATAGCCAAATTCCAAGTTATTTTCTTCATGAGCTGTCATCTTTTTCCTAAAATGTTTGCTTTCCTGCCTTGGTGAGAAGAATTTGATTTTGGACCCATGCAGCTCAGAAGAAGCTCATGAGACTGACAAGCCTGTATGTAAGCGGCCAGGTACATAGTGAATTTGTACCAAGTAGTAAGACTGTATAAAATGGATATCTGGAAATGTTTTTCACACTCATTAAAATACAAAGGATCGGTGTCATAAAGATTAAAGAACTTAGTATTTGGGGTATCTGCACATCGTTAAACTAGGCACAAGGAAGTCCACAGTGGCCATACACATGTTCAGTATATTTTTAGGAAAGTGAACCTCAGCAGGTACTTTGTGGGAAATTAAGGGGCCTTAAGGCTTGTTACAGTGAAAATTAGCATAAAACATGATGCATGTGAGAAATGAGAAAAACTAGGGCCTTAGACAAAACCTTTGAGGTACAATGCTCTTTCAGGTAAGGATTCAATGAGATCGTGTACATAAAATGCAGAAAACAACAATCTTGACTATTACAGCTCTTATATTTCCTCTTGAAGCTATAAAATCAACAAACCACTTCCAAGTAGCATTGTGTTAGTCATCTTAGTTGCATTTCTTTATCATATGTAGACATGAGTAGACCGTGTTTGACATTGCAACCTGCACCCTTGATCCTCCTCGCCCTTTATTTGGAACTTTTTAATATGCTTTTTAAACATGCCTGGGTACCTTAACTACCTGGTAGTGCACTTGGTTGTACAGTAGTAAATGGTAAGTTAACAATGAATGATAAATGACTAATTGAGGTCCTGCACAAAACTTTGAGACAAGTGTCTACACTTTGTCAGAGCTGGCAAACAACTTCACAGCAAGGCAAAGTTGTGAAATAGGCAAAATAAGCCCTCTGACCTTTTCCTGCAGTTCTATTTTTGCTCCTTTGCTGCCCAATTGTTCTTGTACTGTAATATTTCCTTAATATAATCCAAATCAAATTGGTAATGCGCATTTACTTTATTTCACTACTAGGTTCTGCCACTTAGGTCAGACGTAGAATACTTCTGTGTCTGTCAGTAGTGGTATCAGGTGCCAAGAAATGTCAAAAGCAAGCTATAGAGATACAAAGTACCATCAAAGAGAAATAATTAAAACCTCTAAAGATTGAGCAAGCGAACTTGAGTCAAAACTAACTCCAATGTAGGGATGATTTAGGCATAAGAAGCAGCAAAGATGGTCCAGAACCTGAGGGTGACATACCCTTACTAATGTTTGAGCAAGGGAATTAGAGCAGTAAAAAGTTTCTTGAATTTCCTAAAACATTTTCAGTAGAAGGTGCATAGTCATTTAGTCCTGTTGAGTGCAAAAAGGTACAATTTTAGTGGAATTGAACTTGAAAGTTCAATGTATGTCAGCTTTAATTAAAATTACTAGTTGATTTTAAACCTTTACACACCTGGATGGACTTTTTCATTTCACACAGCAGAGGTCTTGATGTAAGACTATTCTAGCTTTCTGATTTATAAATGCTGATTTATTGGGTAATAGGCAACTACTAGCTAAGACCAGGGACTTGAAGTTGTTAGCTGAGTTAGGGATTTACCCTCGAGAGCATATCTGCAACTTAACTCAATGGAGACTCAAAAACCTTAGAGACCTAAAGGAATGGGATTGATGGGGTTTGGCTAGGACTGCTTTTCAAAGTTGAAAGCAATCTAGATGTATCTGGCTTTAGTGACTGATTGGAATTGTTTTCTCTCTGCTTTACACAGTGCTTCTATGTTATCTTAAAGTTCAGTTGGCTCAAACCTACCATTTGGTGCTTTCTAAAATTAGGTCTGTTGCCAGAAATCTAATATCCTACTGCACTTGGCTTCCCAATGAAGTGCCCTCTGAACTGATTATGTGCTTCATAATCCTTGCTGTTTGCCCAGTCTGTGAAAGCTTTTGGCTGTTTTCATGGTTTTACACCAGTTTTCCAGTTAAAATTTAGAGCCTTTATTTGAACCCCAGGCTACTAAGATAATCTGTTTTATGTTTGTCAATCCCTCCCTAGGAGTGGACCCTTTTTTCTAAAAGTTTGGTTCCAGATCCAAATAATACTTAAGAGCATAGTACTGCAGTTGCCTCAATGAATATTGTCACTGTCTCTGGCTTTCTCTACCTCACTGATTGTATATACTTGGATAGGTACAGAGATCACAATCAGAACAAGTGTGCCATGTTTGTGGAATTTTATGGACTATTTTGGGATGGAGAAGGAGGGTAGCTTTCTAATGAGAAACATTCCTTGGTCTCCTTGCAAGGCCTGTACCCCCTTAACGTTTGTCCGCTATTGAGGTCCTGGCATGCTATGTGACTGAATTATAACAGGAAATATGGATTTAATTACAGAATCCCAAATTGAGTACAGTGTAATTCAGCCTATTTGGAAGCTTTATCTTATTAAGCTTACTCAGTTCTAGTTCAAAAGAATATTAACAAAAACATTTCAGAAGTTTGAAGAAAATACAGTGCATCACTTTACTGAGGTCAGGAAACAATGTACCCTTGCCTCCCAACTTGAATATAATTTATGTACAGTAAATTGTGCACAACTCACTCTTCTATGGGGCTTTTCTGCCTAGGAACAGAAAGCAGATCAGTGGATTAACCCAAAGTTAGAGATAAACTAGCCAGGAGGAGCAGAGCGATGATGGGCCAAGAGAATTAAGGATGTAGGTAAGAACATTAAAAGTATGAGATCAAGGGCTGGCCGAGTGTCTCGGTTAAGAGCTCACTCCAGAGTTTGAGCTCTGAGCAACGGCGGTTCAATTCCCAGCCCGAGCTGAGCTGCCAACAGGTGGCAGGATGGCTCAGCTTAAAAAGACCTAGGCTGATGAGCGGGGAGCGGGGGGGAATAGACTGCTGGAAAACTGACTCAGGTAATGACAAATATCAGATGTGCTGTGAAAAGATGCTGATGAAAACAAGGTAAAATAAGGTCCTCTTGTTATACTACAAAATGACCCATATAGCATGTTGCATTCTAATTATTGGTTGGTTTATCTCTGGTCCTGGAGTGTGAGTTCTTTGCAAGCAGAAACTGCCCTTTCATCTCTTAAACTGCCTAGGATAATGTAATGGCTCCTATTAAAAAAATGTCTGATTAAATGAAATTCAATATATATACTTAGGATGGGCAGTGATGGTGTGATTTAAGATTTCCAAAAGAGAAAAGAAATTAGAAAAGCTAGAAGCTGTTATGGACTGAATATTTGTCTCCAAAATTACACTGTTGAAGCCCTAAACCCAGTTTGATTATTTGGAGATGGGAGTCTCAAAGGAAGTCATTAAGGTTAAATGAGGTCATAAGGTTAGGGCCCTGATCCGATAGGATAAGTGCCCTCATAAGAAGAGACTTTGTGAGCAGTGTGATAGCAGCCACCTAACAAGCCAAGCCAAGAGGCCTCTGAATGAAACCTACTTTGCCAGCACCTTGATCTTGGATTTTGCAGCCTCCAGAACTGACTAAATCAATTTCTATTGTTTAAGCCACCCAATCTGTGGTATTTTGTTAGAGCAGCTCTAACAGACTAAGAAGCAAAGGATAAATGGTCACTGCTATAATATTAGCTGGATATAAATTTGGCTAAAGAATTATGAATAATAACCATGAAAAAAGCATGTAATATAATCTCTGGTTTTATACATTAAAATTGGATCTAACAATTAGAACTTGTTATCTGAAGTCTTACGCTTCACAGGAAAAACTTTAACATAAAAATAGTCTTTCATTACTTCATATAACAATGATTTAGTCTTACTAAATCAGTGTGAAATTTTCTATATGAACATTAAGATTCCAATAAGTTATTAAATAACATTTTGTAACTGATAGGTCATAACTATCATTTTTTCCCCAGTACTTTGACATCATCTTGGTTTCTCCTATAGTAACCCTGGAAGGTAATAAAGTAGGCATTATGTAGTATTTATACATGTTAAATATGTGAATAAACAAGATTGAGAGAGTTAAATTATAGACAGTCACTGGAAAGCATTATTTTATCATCCTCTGTACTCTGTACTTTAAAATACTGTTGTTTTTTGTTTGGGTGGGACATTTAAAAACTGACAAACTAGGCAGTATCCTAAGAAAGAAGACAAGGGATCTGGAAACAGTCTGGACAATATTTTAAGGACTTAGAAATATTTAACCTGAAGAAATTAAAATCAAGGGAAGGCATGATGACTATTTTTAGATATTTGAAAGTGTATTATGTGGGGAAATAGTATTAATATCCCATGTGGTAGGGTATAATTATGCCCATTTTATAGATGAGGAAACTGAAACTTAGAAAAGTAACCTAATGAAGGTCACATAGGAAAGTAGGGGAACTGGAATTTTAAATCGGGCAGTCTAAGAGAAGGTTCTTAACCTACTAAATACCTTCCCCAGGGGACTAATTAAATGTTTCTCTAGAAGGCACACAGATGATCAATGAAATAAATAAAAAGGCAAACTGCAACTCAATCTAAATATGAACGTCCCAAAAATAAAATACACCCTCCATAGCAGTGTCCGGACGGTGTGAGTTTGAGGAAGGAGGCCATCCCTAACCAACTTCAAAGACCATTCCTGTCTAAATTCAGATTCTTGACTTGCCCAAGGTAACCCAGCTAGTTAAGACCAAAATTATAACCCACATCTCCTACCCCTCAATTCAATGCTCAATCCACTAATAGTTTGGTACCCCAATTTTTTCCCAGTAAAAGTTTAAATTTCCTCAGAATTCATTATTCGGTGGAAACTGGTAAGATCACGTTAAATTGTACTGGCTCACTGCCCACCTGTTAACACAGGGTGTCTAGTTCTTACATAATTCTTTTCAGAGGAGTTCTGGGACCCCCGTTAGAGCATTTAGCATGTGTTCACAAGTAGGTTTTCTCCCGAAGTCCTTTCTGGTATTCTGCCTGTTCCTGTGGCCCCTTTGGGTATCTCCACATATCTAGTGCCTCCCACAGAACATCAAAGTCTGCGTTGGTGCTGACATTATCATGGTCCAGAGGGTTGTTGCATTCTCATATCCTCCACCTGGTGCTTTGTCTCATAAAGAAATCTGTGCAGCACTGCTTGTATCTCCTGTCTTTACAAAGCCCCTCAGAAAACAGGCCCTTCAGCCTGTTTTCATAGATATTTTTCCATGGCACTGAGACCTGGTCCCTGGGATCAGCCTTGGGTTTAGTACTTTCCTATCCTCATCTGCCCCAACTCGGATTTCTTCCTAGCAGGCTCTCACCCTTCAGTTCATCCTAAAAGCCTAGAAGGCTCAGCCTCATGATCCTACACAAATCAGAATCTCAGATTAGACATAACCCTGCTATGTCAATAACCTGGAATCCATATTTGTCACAAATTTATTGATATGACCTGCAGTTATTAAAAATATGGATTTTTGCAGTAAAACAAGCCAAATCAATAAACTTTTTATACAAAATAAGTTTGGGGACTTGGTAATGGTTGATTAATTACATTAGTGAGAACCTGGGCATTAATCACACTAAACCTCTGGGGCAGTAGTAAGGCGTATTTGAGTTACATCTCAATTCTCATTTTTTATTTTCATCACTGATGGAGACCCTCAACTTACATTTCTTTTTCAAAAATAAATGCACAAGGGCCGGCCGAGTGGCTCAGTTGGTTAAGAGCTCGCTCAAGAGTTTGAGCTCTGAACAACAGCGGTTCGAGTCCAGCCCAAGCTGAGCTGCCAACAGGTAGCAGGATGGTTCAGCTAAAAAAAAAAAAACTAAATGCACAGCCGTAGCTCAGAGTCTGACCACATGCCCAGAAATGTCAGGGTAGCTTTGAAATTCAGGGACTTGTCTCCACATGTCTAAATATAGCTCAATTTCTTGATGGATGTTTCTTGATAGATGTTGGCTTTTAATTCAGTCTTCCTCTGGAGACTGAGCCACACTGATAGGTTTGGCGTGTGATAATACAGAAACATCCTAAGCTTTCATTTATTTGTTCATTGAACAAATAGGAACTGAATAGCTACCATGTGCAGGTACTGTCCCTAAGCACTGAAAATACAGCAGTGAGCCAAACTACCAAAATCCCTGCCCTTGTGAAGCTTACGTTTTAGGAGGAGGGGAAGGATACTACATAATAAAAAGATAAATTGTCAAGTATATGAAAAAATGAGAAGTGATCGGAAAATAAGTAGAACACAGAATATTGAGCATGGGTTTGGGGAGGTTAGTAGTGTTGTGATTTTAACTGGAATTGATAAGATAGGTTGGTGAGATAAGCAAAGAGGGTGAGGGATTGAGCTATGCACCTATCTGGGAAAAGAGTATTCCTACGGCAGTACCCCAAAGACAGGAACATGTGTGGTAAGGAAAGAGAAGAAACAGCATACAGATCATGTAGGGCCTTATGGGCCATTGAAAGGATTTTGGTCTG